AGGGGTATTCTGAAGTCAGGGCCAGCTCATAATATCAAGATTTATTACTTCCTTTTCTGGCTTCATTCTGTCCTTTCAGTTGTCAGTGCTGCTCTGCTAGGCTTTGCTCAGGCATCGTTTTCAGGAACTGCTTTTTCCCTACACTGTCTGTGGTTGGTTATTCAGAGACTCCTGCTCTGTACCTGTCCCCAAACAGTCTCTACACTTGTTCTGACTACTGTCTCCTTCCTGGGTGCTGGTGTTCTGGGGCACCATACTCTCTTTTGGTCTGGAGTAGTTGGGAGAATAACTGCAGAGGATTATGATAGAAGTAGTTAAAGTGTGCATGGATGAAAACCTTCATAATTCTCTTTTTAATTTCTGATGCCTCAAGCTTCATCTCTGCTCTGAGCAGGAAGATCTTATTCCATTTCTTCTCCAACATTTAATTTCATGATTATGAGGAATTATGTTCTGAAGCTTCTCTCACCTGGAAAACACTGGACACACTTAGGGAAATATTTTGGGGCCTTCCATTATTGCCCTGTCATGTCCTCTACACTGTGACTTGCATGTGCTGTGTTGTGCAGAAGGCCAGAGAGCCTTCATGTTCACTGTGGATGAAGAACTAAGGGCCAGAGTAGTGATGACTTGCCCGGATCCATATACTTAAGTAGCAACAGAGATGGATCTGATCCCCTGCCTTATTCTTAGGCAGTTGTGATTTTTGTTAAATTTTCTTTATTTATTTTGAGAGAGAGAGTGAGTGAGTGAATGAGCCTGAGCAGGGGAGGGGTACCAAGAGAGGGAGATAGAGAGAATCCCAAGCACACTGATAGTGTGGAGCCTGACATGGGACTCAAACCAGGAACTGTGAGAGCATGACCTGAGCCAAAATCAGGAGCTGGACTCTTAACGGACTGAGACACCCAGAATCCTCTGTTAATATTTTTTAATTAGTAAAAAAAAAAAAAAAAACCCAACCCTTATTTGCTGTGTTTAAAAAACACATTTTGACTCTGCTGTTAAGCATTTACCCTTGGGCAAGTCCGTTCACGTGCCCATGCCTTGCTTTCCTCATCTGTAAAATGGATTGATAACTATTTCATGAGGCTGTTTGAGGTTAAACAAGCTAATCCTATAAAACTCATAGTACATATAGCACCTGCCCTATAGTAACCACTAAAGTTATCTGCTTTGATGATGTTGACGATCAAATGGTGAAATGTCATTTTATGGATATATTTCACCAAATTCATGAAATTAAATTCTACACAGAAAATATTTAACTTTCCATTGTCTTTAATTTTGCAATTGTTCTTGTATTCCAACAGGTACAATTATTTGTGTCACAACATGAAGTCACCGAAAAACCAGTTGCATTACTGAGTTCTGTAATTGTCACCACTGCTAAATACAGCTCTTTTCCAACACTGGCTCTTTCTTTGTAGTGCTTGGCTCACTTTTGAACCTGCTGCCATTGCAGGCCATTTTTTCTCTTTTTTGGGCCAGATGCATTTAGCTTAGAAACATCCATGTTTTCTCTCTTTTGATGATTGACACCATCTCAGTGCTTGGTAGTCACAGCATCTTAGCATCTGGCTTCTCAGTCTAGTCCTCCTGATATTGCAGGTGAAAATTATTATTCTTCAGAACTCTGGCTAATAGAGATTTTCTAAGGTATAGGGTCAAATTTCATGTCTTCTACCCACAGTGAAGGATATTTGTTGCTGTTAACATCCGTGCCTATTTGGAACAATTTCTGCATTGATTAATTATAAGTTTCCTATAATTGTGGTCTTTCCATAATGCATTTATTTTTGTTTCCTTTTCCAGTTCATCCTTGTGGCTATTTTTAGTTTTAAAGTTCTAGTAGTATTTAAGTATGTATTATTTAAAAATGATAAGAAACTATCAGAAATAGAGGAAGCAATGCGTGCTATGTTATTTTTTCAATACTTTAAGAACCTAGGAGTATAAGTTCTAAGATTTATTGTGTAACACTTTTACTACAGATATTTTTGAAATAATTTAAGTTTTATGTAGTACAGATATTTGTGCAATAGAGAGGTAAATTAATGTCATGATCCTGAAAAATACAGTAAACTTTCCCAAATGATTGTGTGAAACAAGATGCATATGTGAACATCTTTTCATATTTGATCAGTTTTATTCCTGATGGTCATAAAACTAAGTAAATGAAATGCAAAATCTTGACTGCAAGGTAATGGTTGAATTTTTACATACATAAAGGAGTCAGGGTGAATTTATGGTCTTATAATGGCTGTTGGCTGCTAATATTGTATGTATATTCTTAAAGTGATCTATAGCACTATGGCGAAAATACCGTGGGGACAAAATCACAGTTGGTACGCGCTGGGTTTGTTGATTTACCTCCCTTGGACATGTAAAATATTAACTGAGACTCCTTTCATATAACTTGTCTGTTTTCGTTCAGAATTAGATGTGTGCTCATCATTAGTCTACTCTTTGCTAGAGTGTATAAAATGGCAGTGCCAAAGTGAGATGGCAGTGTTAGAGTTGCAAACAGTCTTTTTATATTCTGGCCCATGTATTTCACTTAATTTTTTTTTTTGATTGAATATACTATTCCAAAATGTATCAAAATAACTTTATTACTTGATTTAGTTCTGCAAAACTTTCAAATCCTGTACTCTTTCGAATCACAATTAGACCATTAGAAATAAATGTCTTAGTTACAACTCCTAGGGCTTATTTTCCAGAACGTCCTAGAGCCGGACGTGTGGGATAGCAGAATGCTGTGGGACTTAACGGCCCCATGGAGCTGCCTCTTGTCTGCTCCCTTTGCTACTGATCAGATGCTGTCCTTCGTTACTTCCTGAGTTTCCCTATTTTAAATTGGAGTGTTTGGTTTTCTTCTTTCTGTTCCTACCTCTAGGCAGGAAAACAGGCATATTTTAATTTACACTGCAATTGTTGGGAGTAGTTGTTTACTTCAATCTTAGGTGATAAAATCTGCTTTTACAAACGGAGCATGAGAAAAAAGCAGACAACTTAATAGAGGTCTTTTAAGTAATTGAATATGTAAAAAAAAAAAAAACAAACTCTTTAGAACTCTTTATAATACATCACCTTTTACAAACATGGTCAAAATCAACAGATTTCATCTATAGTGTTGTAATATATCAAAACCCAACTCAATGGACATTAATAGAAGTTAATTAAGTTGCACTCCCTTTGTAAGAAGGCAATTTTTACAAGGAAATGTAATACCCTGTAGATTTCAATTAGAAGTCCTGCGTGTATTTGGAAAAACTATGTTGCTCGTAGCATGGCCATAGCCAAAAGACTGAATTCCCAAAGATGACTGGGGGAGCTCTTTCTTTTCTGTATGGTCCAGTGGCTGTTACATAGTGTTTGTCTACTCTGGTGTTCTCCTTATTTAGAATCTAGTCTGTTGTACTTAGCTTACCTTTTATAGCACGTTGACCTTGAGTTGGTTTAGATCTCTGATTAAAGAATCTGACTGATGGGTGTGCTTTGCTATTCTTACCTGGTTATACAGTGGCTGCCTTTTTTTTTTTTTTTTTTGGCAATCTCTCAGGGCAAGAGAACCAGGCAGTTAAAGTTTCCTAATCATTAGTGTTTCTACCTATAAGTCTAATATTAGATGCAACGAAATTCCTTTCATTTTACTTGGAATAGCTTGTCAGATACTTGATAGAAAACTTAATTTTGAAGTCAAAAGCCTATCTAAGAAGAATTCCTTTGGATTTTTTAAGCCTATGACTTGATCTAGTCAGATTACTGAAAAGCTATGTTCTTGGGTTACATTTCAGTGTCCCTCTGAATAGATGTTTTAAAAGCTTTACTCTTATTTAATATAGTATGCCCTTGCCTTTTATTAGGGAGTGGGTAAAGGGGAGGCTCTGTGACAATCATTTCTATTAGCTTTTGTAATATTGCAGTTGAATTCTGTGGGCTGTGTTAGTTCTTCTCCTTTATAAAGATTCATTTGGTAAAGGCTTAGGGCTTTATCCTAGAAGAATTTCCTTCTTGTAAACTGGCACGTTATTTGTTTTTTGTGTGCTTTATATAAAGCTCAAAATTTTCCCACTTTGAGAAGCTTTCAGAGAATCACAGAGCCAAATCGATGATAGCTTGGGTATTCTGTAAAAAACTTACTAATATTTTTCTTCATTCATTGGCTCATGTTCTTGTCTCATTATTATGGTTGGCTTTCATATCTTTTCTGGAAATAGGCAGTATGTAAATAACCCAATGAGCTACATCATCTAATTCTGAGTTCTAGCATGAGTATGTAGCCACATATAGAATTAGGAAAATAACTTCCTTTTCTTAGTCCTTACATTCCTGAGTAGGTTTTTTAAGACATTACTTGGAAATCTCCTAAAGCACTACTGTGGTTGAGTGAACTGTTTCAGCTCCAAACCCAGTTCGACTTGCCGCCCTGTGGAGCCCTTGCTCCAGATGTCATCTCAAATCTTGGAGTTGAGGACATGCATACAGCCTGGAGATTTAAAAAGATGAAGAAGTCAGTGGTTATCCCATTCCACTTGATAGATTGTAAAGTGATGATCGCCATCAAAGATTTCTGCCCTTAGATTTTTTTTCCTCCCCTACAGCTTTGAGAATCTGAGTGTGAATTTCTAAGCCCATTTCAGAGTACCCCCAAGAAGATGTTTTTTCCCCCCAAAGTATTCTTGGGATTACCTCATTTGAAGTTATAAAAACTTTCTTGAAATTCCTTGTCAAATAACAGTGGCACTTTATTTTTGCATGGTGATTTATCTTCCAGGGTAATTGATGAAATATGTATACTTTGATTTACTGATTTACCTGAAATAGGATAAAAATACCAAATGTTTATTGAAATAAAGAGGTAACATTTATTTATGGTGTTCAAACATTTTATTACTAGGGCCTATTTTTAATGAGTCAACTTATTATTTTTTAAAAAATTAAAATGTAGTTTTAAAAAGCTCGAGTCGTGAAACTTGTTGATTATTCTACCATAGGATCCTGGCTACTGGGTGAAGATTCATCACTTAGAATACACGGATGGAGGAATCCTGGATCCAGATGATGTTTTGGCAGATGTCGTTGAAGACAAAGATAAGGTAGATGACTAAAACTGTTCCTCTTTGTTTTCCTCTTTAGAGCTGTGTGTTTCCTAGAGATTGAGATCCTTAACAAACTCATGTGTCAGTTATTGTTAAAAGATACCATCTGTTCAGGTTTCACCTGAACAGCCTATAAATCAAAGTTCTTCATCAGATGCTTGGAAAAACTTTGTCAAGGTTTGGGAATCTGTTTATGGTGGCCTAATTAGCAGACACTTCATTCCCAAGGGTTCCTCATGTGTCTTAGTAAATTAGTGTCAGGCTCTGAGGCTGTTGGAGCTTTCATTGCCATTGTTGGCTTTGGGGTTTATTCTTGGCCCTTGCTAAATATTCAACTCAATGCCTGTGATTTGAATGTGTTTCAAACTAGAGAATACAGTGGGGAGAAAAGTCTTACAAAGCACTATGGTGAATTTTTTTATTTTTTAAAGCAGCTGGCAAACAACGGTCTTTTGTGATAGTCTTTGTTTCCATTGCTAAAGTAAAACAAAAAACAAAAAAACAAAAAAGACCACTAAATTGACTATTGCAAAAAGGTTGAACATATTTTGCCAACTATTTGAGAATACTCCCACTGCAAATATCTTATTTTAGTAAGATTTTTCTTCTGATGGTAAACTGGAAAATATGAGAATAAACTGTTCAGTTGCCACACGCAGGATTTTTGCTGTTGAGACACATTGTATATTACATCTGTGTTGGGCTCCTCTTAGCAATGGTTGAGGTGTCCTCTCTAATTGAACTCCAGCCCACCTCTACGAGTGATCCTGGATTCAGAGTTTCTCCTCCTGTACATCCTTAGCGCTATTTGTTCTAGGCTATTTATGTGTGTATCTATGTTTCTCTCTTTTGCTTTTCTGCACTCTCAGGGAGGTGTGTGTGTGTGTGTGTGTGTGTGTGTGTGTGTGTGTGTGTGTTAACCAATTGCACCAGAATATGGAGAAGTGATTTATTGAACTCAGGTAAAATTTACATTTTTCCTTTCCTGTAAGATCTTTTTGGACTGTTCAAATTTACATTAGTCTTTGCCAACATTCTATCCATTTTTTCCCCTTATTTTTCTGTTGAGCAAACTCAGCTCTGGTTTGCTGGTTTGCTTTGCATAATAATAACTCATTTCATAAGGGACTAATGTCCCTGAATAGATTGTAAGTTCCTAAAGGACATGGACCAGAAGATTTTTATTTCCTTTGTGTTCCTTGTAGTAATAATATCCAGTACAATCTCTTACCAAACTGAATTCTCAAAGAACACTTACTGAATTCATGAGTGAAAAAGAAACCTTTACTCTCTACACTTGACTCCCGGTGTACATGATTTTGATGCATACTTCGTGTTTATTGCTTGGTCTTACAGTAAATAATAACGTATTATTTAAGTTCCTAAATTTAAAGGACGACTTTGACTTCTGTATTTCTGTTTCACTTCCTACTTTTCTGCAACCGTCTTATTTTGAAATAGTCTAGACATTTGGTCTGTTCGTTAATGAAGAAAGTCTTCCCTTCTCAGATTTCATTGATGACCGGTATATTAAAATTAAAAGTCAAAAAGTAGCAAGCCTTAAGAAAGGTAGAAGAGGGGCGCCTGGGTGGCTCAGTCAATTAATCGTTTGACTTTGGCTCAGGTTGTGATCTTGAGGTTCACAAGTTCGAGCCCCGTGTTGGGTTCTGTGCAGATAGCTCAGAGTCTGGAGCCTGCTTCGGATTCTGTGTCTCTCCCTCTCTGTCTGCCTCTCCACCACTTGCACTCTCTCTCTGTGTCTCTCTCTCTCTCTCTCAAAAATAAATAAACATTAAAAAAAAAAAAAAGAAGAAGGGCCAGAAGAAAATGTCTCACCCAGCCTCATGCGAGACCTAATTACAGGAAGGATGTTTTCATGAACAGTGCTCAGGGAAATCATTTGTCCTACAGAGCTCTTCCGTTTAGAGAATACTTTTTAACTCTCCTGGCAGTGCCCTTTTAAACTATAATCCATTTACTAGACAGAGAAACAGCTTTTATTATGTGTAATCTCTATTTTAAAGGGGCTTCACCACTAGTGAATCAGGTGAAAAAATGAGGTAGTCAGTTAAAATCCTAGCAAAGGATGAGTGCTATCTGGGTGAAGGTTTACCCATTTCCTTAATGTGCTTTTGCATTAAATACATGAAGCTTAATTGGTATTGTTTTGCAGAGTAGATGAGAATATATACTTTGGATATTGCCAGAAAAAATGTGTTCCCCTTTGCCCTTTTCAAAAATAATGTAAGTGAAAAAGAGCATCACTTTTTTTTCCCCCTGACATTCTCTCTGAAGTCTTAAGATTGTCTGATAGTTTATGTATCCAGTGTGGAAATAAGGTTCTGCCAGACTTTATTACTTTTTTCAAAGTTTAGATTAAGAAGTAATTATACGTGATACTTCTCAATGTTTAGCGATATATCAAATTCAGCCATATTATCTTAGAGATAATATGAAGCTTAGATAAAATTATAGTTCATCTATTTTCAAATTGGCTATCTAATGATCTCTTGCATTTAGAATATAGAATGCAAGCCCAAAGAGGCATGGATGGATGTGAGTAATCCTTGGCCAATGCCCACTTACCTCAACTCCTAGGAAAGACTTGCGCTACAGGTGAAAATGGCAATTAGGAACTTTTGATGGCCCAGCTGGAGAGGATGAAGCAGGAAAAACAAATTTAGAATCAGAAAGTGCTGTAGGCTGAGGCCATTTTGTGAGGCTAAGGAAGAGCCATCCAGTATACTTCTGTAAAAACTGAAATTGGGGGCTAAATGGTATCCTCACAGTCAGACAGTGGGATAATATACTGGAGTCAGCTCTTTATGTCAATGACTTTCAAAACTTCTGGTCCCAGAAGTGGTTTGTCTGGGAGCTTATCTTGATTATTCCTTGGGCCAGCATGGCACGTGCTTTTACATGGTGCCTCTTTGGGAGGTTTTTTGTGTTAACTTGCTTACCCAGTAGAGGCCCCTCCACAGGGAGCCAAGTTTTTACCATGTTGCACTATATCTTTCCTATATTTTGTCAAAATATTACTGGAGCAGCTTTGAAATTTTGCATCTTATGGTAACTGATATTTGTATAAAATCTTATGGTGCAACTGAATTATACAGTTATAACAGGCATTCTTAAAATTCTCTTGTTTTATGTATCTGTCTGATGATCTAAGTTCTTTGGAATAAGTATCTAAAAATTCACAACTTTACACTAATGCGTCTTCTCTGGCTTCCCAAGGCTATGGACGTATTCACCCAATGACAACTACTTAACATTTTATGGAACACCAATAGTGTCCCAGAATTCTCTGGCGATTATATATTCTATTTTACTTTAGAGCGACCCTGCAGGTGAGAGCTATTTATTATCCCTGTTCCTAATTTCTGAAAATAGCCCCAGAAATTGTCAGTGACATACTGAAGATCACAAAGGTAGTAAGTGGCAGAATCAGACTAGAATTCACATTTCCAAACTCCTTCGTTCTTCTGCAAAGTGCCAAGTAGTGTGTTGGGTGTTTGTATTTATAATTTCTAGTTATGAAAACTCATGAATTATGAATAAGAATGACTTTGTTTTTACATAGTTAGCACCACTGTTAAGAAAGGGTAGGTAATAGAACTATGGAGTATAACAAAATTAATTTAGAAGTAGTATATCATGCAAATATAAATTCACCTCTCTTTGCCTGAAGCCTGCACCTAATTTATTATAAAGGTGTCTTACCTGTGTTGCCACCCCTTGTATCCTTCTTTTCAGGTCTCAGATTACTACTTTCAGGACTCTGTAGACTACACTTGTCTAACAACTATTTTCTGCTTTGTAGGAGAATACGTTCTGTATTCCAGTAACTACTTTTCAGAAAGATTGCTGAATGCACAAATTATATGCTGTGCTGTCTGTAGTAGGCAGAGTAATGGCCTGTAAAGATGTCTACTCCTAATCCCCAGAACCAGTGAGACGTATGTTACATGGGAAAAGGATTTTTGCAAATGTGATTAAGGACTTTAAAATGGAGAGATTATTCTGGATTATTTGGGTGGGCCCAGTGTAATCACAAGGGTCCTTATAATTGAAAAGAGGGAAGCGAGAGAGTTCATATTAGAGAGATACAATGTGAGAGAGAGTTGACTGTCCACTGGTGGCTGTAAAAAATGAAGCCAAAGAATGCAGACACCTTCTAGAAGCTGGAAAAGGTGAAAGAATGGATTCTCCTATACAGTTTCCAGAAAGAATACAGCCCTGCTGACCTCTTGGTTTTAGCCTGGTGAGACCCATTTCAGACTCCTCACCTCCAGAATTGTAAGATACATTTGTGCTACCTGAAGCTCCCAAGCTTGTAGTAACTTGTTATCACAGCAGTAGGACACCAATGCAGTGTCTTTTGTTTTATACTTTTAAAATGATGATGGTTTTCACACGTTTCATACTAACTGGGCTTTAACATTTTGTAGGACAAGGAAAAATCTTATGTTTCAGATTAGTCGATCACTGTGCATTCTTTCCAAAGTACACCGTAAATTGAAACTCCATTCACTGGGTGAGTTCTTGCTCTGTAGGACTTCAGTGTCATGCTGTTGTCTTGTGTAGGAATAATGTCAGGGTCACACACCCAAGCTTTGTAATAGTCACTTACCAGTTTCTCCTTATTATACGTAATGACTCTAAGAAGTCTGAAGACTGACATTTAAAAGCCCCTGCAGGGGCGCCTGGGTGGCTCAGTCGGTTGAGCGTCCGACTTCGGCTCAGGTCATGATCTCATGGTCCGTGAGTTCCAGCCCCGCGTCGGGCTCTGTGCTGATGGCTCAGAGCCTGGAGCCTGTTTCAGATTCTGTGTCTCCCTCTCTCTCTGTCCCTCCCCCATTCATGCTCTGTCTCTCTCTGTCTCAAAAATAAATAAACCTTAGAAAAAAATTAAAAAAAAAAAATAAAAGCCCCTGCAAAGCTTATCGTTAGCTGATATTTTTTGAGTGTGAGAACCTGATTATTGAACTTGTATG